AGTGGTGCTGTGGCTCAAGTGGTAGAGTGCTATCCTTGAGCTGAAGAGCTGAGGGACAGTGCCCAGGCCCAGAGTTCAGGCCCCACGACCGGACCCCAAAAAAAAAAAAAGAAGAAGCTGCAAGTAGAGTTGTGGGTCAAGTGAGAAAAAAAAAGTTCAGGGACAGTGCCCAGGCCGAGTTCAAGCCCCAAACATATATAACTAGATATAATTTACTGATATATACCTGTAATCTTAGCACTCAGGATAGTGAGGTAGGAGGATCTCAAGTTTGAGGGCAGTCTGAGCACCATAGTGAGATACTATCTTAAAAACCCCACAAAACATATGCTTATTTCTAGAAGTAAAGGATTTAAAAAAAAATTAGAGTTATTTGTTTATTGTGTCATTACGGGGGCTTGACCTGATGTCCTGATTGCTGTCCTTTAGCCTTTTTGCTCAAGGCTGGTATTCTATCTCTTGAGCTACAGCTCCACTTTCAACTTTTTGGAGGTTAACTAGAGATTAGAGTCTCAGGAACTTTCCTGTCTGGGCTGGCTTTGAGCCTCAATCTTCAGATCACAGCTTTCTGAGTGACAAGATTACAAGTTTAAACCACTGGCATCTGACTTTAGAAGTTATTTATGCATTGATAGGATTTACTTTATCAGGTGCAGGGTTGTTTTTTGTTTTGTTTTGTTTTCTTCTCAGGTTTTCCTTTTATTTATTTTTATTTTTAAAATATTTTGTATTTATTTATGTGGTAGGGAGGAATCGAACTCAAGGCTACGTGCACGCCAGGGAAGCATTATACCACGAAGCCATATTCCCAGTCCTCAGGTTTTCCTTTAAAGCTGAGATACTTTAGGCGCTTTTAAGACCTTAGATAGTACTTACATTATGTTATGGTTATTAAAAATACTCTTTCCAATGTCTCTTTTCTTACAGAATCTTTAGATGACTTGACTAATCTGGTGGTTAAGTTATTTTCTGAAGTAGAGAATAAAAATGTCCCATTGCCAGAATTTCCTGAACACCCTTTCCAAGAGGAACATCTTAAGGTAAGTGCACTAAACTTGTGATATTTAAAAATATAATAATATGTTAAATGGCAACTCCTTTGTGCAACTATTTAAAGATAGTAAAAATACATTAAAAAATGTTTGAACATATTGGTCAGGATAATCAAATCAATTCCCCATGTCTAAGAATACCAATATGTTCTGATCTTTGCCTACTAAAAGTAGTTTTGGTAGCTGTAGCCTTGGCAAACTATTGAAGCTCTTATCTGGTCCCAGAAGGCAAGCATCCAAAACTATCAGACACCCAAAACTATCAGTGCCCAGGACACAAACATGGAGTGCTTGCCCACTATAGTAAGATTTCAACTGATGGGGAACCTGATTCATTGAATGCTTTGTGGTCTGGTAATTGATATGATGAAATCAGTATTCTTCATAGCCTATAAATTTTTTTTCCTTTTTTTTTCCAGTATTTTTTTCTTTTTTATTGTGAAAATACTGTACAGAGGGGTTACAATTACACAGGCAAGATAATGAGTACATTTCTTTTTTTTTTTTTTGGATCCAGTCATGGGGCCTGAACTCTGGGCCTGGGAGCTGTCCCTCAGCTCTTCAGCTCAAGGCTAGCGCTCTACCTCTTGAGCCACAGCACCACTTTCCGGCTTTTTTCTTTTTTTGTTTATGTGGTGCTGAGGAATTGAACCCAGGGCCTCAGGCATGCAAGGCAAGCACTTTACCACTGAGCTACCTTCCCAGACCATGAGTACATTTCTTATCAAGCATTGTTGCCTCCTCCTTTGTAGCCTATAAGTATTTTATCTAGTGAAATTATACATTGCAAATATTTTGTGATTTTTTTTTCCCCCAGCAACTTTATAAAATAGTGCCCATTAAGGATATTAGGAATCTTTACGTGACATTTCCCATACCCGACCTTCAGAAATACTACAAATCAAACCCTGGGCATTACCTTGGTCATCTGATTGGGCATGAAGGTCCAGGAAGTCTGTTATCAGAACTGAAATCAAAGGGTAAGTGTGTTGGGAAGCATCTTCTGTAGAGTCCATATTGTTGACACTGGTTTCATTTTCTCCTTCCTGAGAAGGAGTATATGTTTTAGGGTAGTGGATTGAGTGATGATTGTTAGTATGCTTTTCTTTTTTTTTTTTTTTCATAATCTGTTTTACCCTTCAGAACTGAATGGTAAAGTTTAGATATTTCAAAAGATGGCATTATGCTTATTGGCTGGAACCTAGACCTTGTGCATGCTGCCTAGACACGGCAAGTACCCTCCCATTGAGCTTCATTCCCTGCTATTTGTCTGTTTATTTAGTTTTATTTTATTTTAGTGTCTGCCAATGCTTGAACTAAGGGTCTCAAGCTCTCACTGGACTATCTTACTCACAGCTAGTACTCTACCATTTGAGCTTTGCTTGCAGTCTAGCATTTTGCTGGCTAATGGGAAACAGAGTCTCCCAGACTTTTTTGGCCAGACTTGTTTGATCCTTGATTCTCCAGGTCTCAGTCTCCTGAGTAGCTAGGATTATAGGCCTGAACCACTGGCACTCAACCCTGCCATGTTTTTAAATAAGTACACTGTTAAAGGAAAAGCCTACAGTAGATATTCTGTATTATCTCTGCAAAGCATCTGCTCTGATTCATCAAATCGGTGTTTTTATTTATTTTTTTGTCGGTTGTGGGGCTTGAACTCTGGACCTGGGCACTGTCCCATAGCTCTTCAGCTCAAGGCTAGCTAGCGCTCTACCACTTGGGCCACAGCACCACTTCCGGCTTTTTCTGCTTATGTGGTGCTGAGGAATTGAACCCAGGGCCTCATGCATGCAAAGCAAGTATTCTACCTCTGAGCCACCATCCCAGCCCTCAAACCAGTATTTGATGCAGGATGTAGACAATGGATTATTTCCAAAGCCCCATCCAGCTCAGTCTTTGTTTTTACATAGCATTTAAGTTTAGTAGTCTGCCCTAGCTGTGAACTGATTTGAGGAGTCATCAGGAAAACTTCCTCCCTCTAAATCCTTTAATCTGAAACTGCTTTCCTCTCTCTTTTACTTTCTCTCCCTCCCTCTCCCACTCCTCTCATATAAGAGATCCATTCTAATTGCTTAGAACATATCCTATGAATTTTAAGAAATCCCTTGTTACCAGGTGCTAGTGGCTCATGCCTGTAATCATGGCTACTCAAAGACACTGTTCAAAGCCCAGCCAGGGCAAGGAAGTCTATGAGACTCTTATTTCTAATTAAGCACCAGAAAACCAGAAGTGGACCTGGAACTCAAAGTGGTTAAGCATGGGTCTTGAGCAAAAAGAACTCAAGAATAGCGCTTAGGCCCTATGTTCAAACCACATTACTGACCAAAAAAAAAAAGAAAACAAAAATCCCTTTTTAGGAAAGAAGCCCACATTTAACCCTGTTGATTTTTTTTTTTTTTTAATGATTCAGGCTGGGTAAATACCCTGGTCGGTGGACAGAAAGAAGGAGCTCGAGGTTTTATGTTTTTTATCATTAATGTGGACCTAACTGAGGAAGGATTATGTAAGTATTGATTGACTTTGCTTTTGAATGATAATTTACTTCCTCTGATTTATTCTTTTTAATTTTTTTATGCTGTGGATCTGTTTTGTGTTGAAGAGCTGTAGACACTTTATATACTTTATCCATTGTATTTCATTTGTACTTGGCCTTTGTTTTGTGGATGATCCTCCCCCTCCCTTAATTAATTGCTCATTATGTTGCACTTGTAAAATGTGTGCTTGGCTCTCCATTTGCTCATTTACTACCCAAATATCCCTGAGCCCTCAGGGCCATGCGGGGTACATCTAAATCCAGACTCAGAAAGGTGAGGACTCCATTTTCTAATAAGGACCATCTTCTACTTACCTGACTGTACTTTAGGAGTAAGCTCACTGCTTTGAAGGATGCAAGGACTGAATGGTTTTTAAGTGTGCCCCTTTTTTCCAGTACATGTTGAAGATATAATTTTGCACATGTTTCAATACATTCAGAAGTTACGTGCAGAAGGACCTCAAGAATGGGTTTTCCAAGAGTGCAAGGTACTTTTGTTTCACCAAAATTTTTCTTAAGGAGTCTATTTTTCAAAAGCAAATCTATGTGCATTAATTTAAATCTAAGGCCCAGTTAAAATTTTGAAGTTTTTTTTCCCTAATTAATGTCTAAAATTTTGCAATGCATATTTAGTATTAGGCAAGACTTGATTGCCCTAGTTTGATTTGCTACTTGGAGCACAACTAGGGGTTTAAGATTTCTTGTAGTTTTTTTTTTGAGGAAAAAGTGGATTGCTTTTCTGTCCCTTAGAAGAAAGCTAACAGTTTGTTAAGCTGGTATTTTTTTAGGGCTTATGTTACTCCTTGACTGAAGCTACATGAAGTCTGTCATTTTCAGATCTGGCAATAAAAAAACCTAAAGTGAACTTCAAAGAAATAGTGAACTGTTTTGTGTATGGTTGCATTCTTTTTTTTTTTCTTATTTGTTTATTTATTTTTGAGACAAAATTTTGCTTGCTATGTAGCTTAGAATGGCTTTGAACTCACAATATTTCTGTTTCAGCCTCCTAAGTGCTGAGATTCCAGTTGTGTGCCCTGTGCCCAACTATAATTAAGTTCTTGAAAGTGGTTTTATTGTTAAATGTATTATATGGAAAAGCCTAGGTGTCTTTTTTTCTTAATGTATAAAAGAAAATGTTTGCTTCCCAAATTTTTTAAGACTTCTTTTAGGAAGATTTTTATTTATTTTAAATTAATAATAATAATGTGTGTGTGTGTGCCAGTACTGGAACTTGAACTCAGGGCCTGTGTTCTTGCTTGGCTTTTTCACTCAAGGCTGGTGCTGTGCCACTGGAGCCACATCTCCACTTCCTCAGAACATTTTTTTTTTTATACATAAGACCTATGAAGATTCTGAAATATATATACATATATAGACATATCAATATATATATATATGATAATTTAAGACCTATCAAGATTCTGAAATATATTTTAGGTTGAGAAGTATCCTTTTTAGATCAAAATCTAAAGATACAGTCTATGCTTGCGGAACTTAGGACAGTAATTTCTTTTTTTTAGAATTTGACAATATATTTTATTTTTCCATAAAAGTTCTAATAAAAATATATGTTCCTTAACTTAAAAATACATGTTTAGAAAGTAAAATCTGAGTTATCCTTCACTCCAAGTTTTACAAAGAGCAGTAAAAGAAGAATCCACAGTGACAATGGAAATCTCATTCCATAATAGGACAGTAATTTCTTCTCTGAACAAATCACCAATACATGTGTAGAACTGTTGGATTTCACAAACACCTTTCTAATTCTTTAATCCTTTCAATAATTTAGTCTGTACAATACTATTCTGTATTTGTTATTTCGACTCAAATTTGTTTATCAGTTTTATTTTGATTTTAAGTGTAGGTTGATTAGTTTTTACACTTTAAAAAATTTTCTTTGCATATCTGTCTATTCCTAATCAAGCATAGCCACCTTTTCCCCCAGAAAGTGTGATAAAGTTAAACTTGAAGTAGAAAGTTTATAATTTAAATGAGACATTAAAACTTAATATTTCTAAATAGTAGTTAGCTATGTCTAAGTGGATTAACTTCTATTTTAGGACTTGAAAGCTGTTGCTTTTAGGTTTAAAGACAAAGAGAGGCCACGGGGCTACACATCTAAGATTGCAGGAATATTGCATGTAAGTTATCTTGTTTACTGTTTATCTTGGTGCATAGAATATGTTGGATCCTGCATATGTTGCTTATGAAAGTTGATGTTGTGATATAAAACTATGGGCTTGAAGCAGCTGGACAAACTGATGACAAGACATGTTTAAACTCTTAACATTCAGCATCCTAAAAGTCATTATCTGTAATATTTTCATTATACAGGTATTTTGCTTATGGGCTTTCAGTTCTACCACATACCATGTATTGCCTCTGTGAAAGCTTTAGGTCATCTCTGTTTCTCCATTTCTTTAGTTACTACTTTAGTTTGAATAGCTTTTATTTCTTGAATAGACTACTATTACAGTATCCTACCCAAGTTCAAGACCCATGACCAATCAAAAAAAAACAAAGCAAAGAAGGATGTAAAAGGTATGATTTCACTCATAGAAATCTAAATCTATGAGGAAAGTCTACTTATACAGATGTATGAGGCTGAATGTGATAAGTACATTTCTATATTCCTAGTACTTGGGAGGCTGAGGCAGAACGATTCTAAGTCTGAGGCCAGCCTGGGCTTTCTAGTAAGACCCTGACTCAAAAAAAATGCAGAAAAACAACAACCCCCCCCAAAAAAAAAAACCCAAAGACCCCCAAAACAAAAACAAATCCCACCCCAAAACAAAAGGCAAAAGAAGTGTTTTGTGTTAAAAAATACTATGTATGTTAGTATTTTGCTGTCAAATTTGTTAAATTTTGCTGGAATCAATTTTATGGGTGTTTTGTTTTGTTTTTGCCAGTCTTGGAGCTTGAACTCAGGCCCTGGGCACTGTACCAGAACTTATTTTGCTCAAGACTAGCACTGAGCCACTTGAGCCACAACTCTACTTCTGACTTTTTGGTAGTTTATTGGAGATAAGAGTCTTATGTATTTAACTGCCCAGGCTGACTTTGAGCCATGATCATCAGATCTCAGCATCCTGAGTAGCTAGGATTACAGGCTTGAGCCACCTGCAGCAGGCTTAACAAGGGATCAGTTTTAGCAAGAGTATTACTTTCATTTTTTTCTTGGAAAAAAATGTGACTTTGCTATATATATAATGTCAGTTTATTTGGAGATTAGTAGAATCATCACACAAGCTGGACTGGGCTGGGTAGATCAGGGGAAGAACATGTGCCTAGTATATATTAAGTCCTGAGTTCAATCCCCAACACTGAAAAAAAAATGAATAGGAGTGACATTTATTGAGATGCGTTGTATTTATAAACTGACATGTTGAAATGTAACTTCATTGTACAATTACTTAAAGATAATAAAAAGTATATATTTATTAGTCATGGGGTTTGAACTCTGAACCTGGGTACTGTCCCTGAGCTCTTCAGCTCAAGGCTAGCACACTACCACTTGAGCCACCATTCCACTTCTGGTTTTCTGAGTTGTTTATTGGAGATAAGAGTCTCATGGACTTTTGTGCCAGGGCTGGCTTTGAACAGCAATCCTCAGATTTCAACCTCCTGAATAGCTAGGCTTACAGGCATGAGCCACTGGTGACCAGCCTTAAAATATAATTTTTTTAAGCACATGTGATAGGAGAGAGAAGAAGATAGAAGAGGGGCTACAGAAAGTTTCCAATGTAGTCAAATGTAATATTACAGATCTGTGTGTTTTAATAAATTAAATCCTTTGTTTGCCTTGTAACTTTTACTTGTGTTTTCCTTTCTCAAAGTATTACCCCTTAGAAGAAGTTCTTGTAGCTGAATATTTGCTGGAAGAATTTAGACCTGACTTAATAGAGATGGTTCTTGATAAACTCAGACCAGAAAACGTTCGGTGAGTCACCTACACATTTTACTGTTATAGACTCAGTTTTTGGTCATGATCAAAATCTGAAAAATTGAAGTTGTAAATAAAATGCTTTCAATTTTTTTTAGTCAAGTAAGATTACACAGGTAGAGAATAGTGCAATGAACTAACCCCAAGCTTCATCAGCCAATACATGCCTTTTTTTTTTCCAGTCCTTCTTTTGCTCAAGGCTAGCACTCAACCACTTGAGCCACAGCACATTTCCGGCTTTTTCTGTTTATGTGGTACTGAGTCTCTTCATCTTTTTTTTTTTTTTTTGTTCTGGTCGTGGGGCCTGAACTCTGGGCCTGGGCGCTGTCCCTCAGCTCTTCAGCTCAAGGCTAGCACTCTACCACTTGAGCTACAACGCCACTTCCTATGTGGTACTGAGAAATCGAACCCAGGACTTCATGCATGCTAGGCCACATTCCCAGCCTCAACTCATCTTCTTATCTATATTTCTTTATCCTCATCTTCTCTCAAAAGTCAAGTGATAGAAATAACATGAATACAGGTCTAGGAATGTCACTTAGTGCTAGAGTGCTTGCCTAGCATGCATGAAGCTCTGGGTTCAATTCCTTAGTACCACATAAAATGAAAAAGCCAGAAGTGGTGCTATGGCTCAAGTGGTAGAATTCTAGCCTTGAGCAAAGAGAGAAGCTCGTGGACAGTGCCCAGGCCCTGAGTTCAAGCTCCAGGACTGGCAAAAAAAAAAAAAGAAACAACATGAATAACAAACAAATCTGTACCCCTGTACTCACCTCAGCAACAGGTTTCATCTATCAGATGGCTAGGAATTTTTCCTCACCTTAAAACAAGATGAACATAGCAGTGTCTTCTTCTAATTCTGAACAGCTCTGATGCTCTCTATGCCTGGAGCTGCGATTTAGATAAATAAATTGATTGTTAGGATGCTTGAATGAGTGGTTATCAAACTGAGAATCTCTAAGTTCTAATAAATGCTTTGGTTTCATACTTATTATATAAATATTCATTCATATGTATATGTATATATATATATACACACACACATACATATATATGTGTATAGAGAGAGAGAGAGAAAAAGAGAGAGAGAGAGTACCAAAAGCTCATTGGTCAGTTGAAACTTGTTTATAGGGCCCTGTCTGAGTATTGGTGGACTCTAGCTGCTTCTTAGGCAGCTTGAGTCTGAGTCAGTCCTAGGAAGGGCTTTTTGCTTGTATCTTCTCCTTATATTCTTCAGGCAATGTGGTCTGTTTAAACCTTTTCCACTTCATTATGGAACCCTTTTGGACATGGGCGCTTCTTCTGTTAAAAGTAGTCATCCCTTGCTATATCGCAGTCCACTTATTGTGGCTTCACTGCATTGAGGGGTTCTTTTAAAAATAATGATCCCTCACCTATTGCGGGAGTTACATCCCAGATACTCCCACAATAGGTGAAAATCTGCGAAGTAGCAGTAAGTGAACCACGGTATAGCGTGGGACAACTATCTAATGCTACTACTTCATGGATTATCACCTATCACGGGGTTCTCTGGAAAGTAACTTCCACATTAGGTGACTGGATCACTGCATTTCTCTGATACACATGGTAGTTATTTCAGGCATCAGGATTGTTTTGTTTCCTTTGTTATTGAAGTACTCTCAGTTCACATCTCATAGCAAAGTAGTAAACACTGTTCAAGTTGAAGCATTCTAGTCCAAAGTCCCAATTGTTGTCCCTGGGAAGTGCTTATCACTTTTTGCCCTAAACTGTGAATGCTACATATGTTTATCAAAGAATGTGTCTTACCAGCCCTCTGGTTTCTATTTTGCACTATGTCAGCTTGTCCCATTAACACAGCTTTCTGTTTGAAATACCAGAGAAGGAAAACGTGGTCATCAGGCATACATAATATCCATTCTCATAAAACATTTAGGTAAAGACACAGCTTCTTAGCCGGGCGCTGGTGGCTCACGCCTGTAATCCTAGCTACTCAGGAGGCTGAGATCTGAGGATC